TAAATTTATCTTTTGTAGCATTACGGTAAAGTTCAATAAACTTATCTTTTGTCACGCCACCGCATTGCTCGCTTGCAATATTTCTAACGTCAACATTATCCAGTCCTGGAAATAAAATAAAACAACCCGTATTTCGCCTAATAAACCTGTCAACATTATAAAATCCTTGAGCGAGATAAACAGAATTACACTGTTTGTTACGTGACAGTGAGAAATATGATTTTATTTTGTTCATCTCCATGTTATTTAGCGGAATATCGTCAAAAACTACTATCTTATGTTCATCTGCATCAAGTTGATTGATTGGAATAAGATCTTCTGGCTGCCTAATTATAAAAAAATCTTCGCCAGCTTTAAGATCATCACGAAGCTTGTCATTATACTCACTTAATAACTCATACTTATCTTGCTGTGGATTGATTGTGTAAATATAAACTCTATCGTAGTTAAAATTATCAGCAAGAAGTAAGTTCATAAGTATATTTGTTTTCCCCGATCCAGTTCGCCCAACAATAAGATAATGACAATCAGGAAGTTCATTGTTATGTTTGTGCTTCACTAGTCTCTCTGTATCAAAGTTTAGTATCAATGATTTTGCCATTTTGTATAATATTAAACTAGTGTTGATAATTTTATCTAGGATAGTAAATAATGAGCTACTATACAAAGTTTGGAACACTATTAGAAGATTTATCCACAAAAGGTTATCAAGGTGACTTATCCAAATATGCAACTCTTGATCAGCTTAAAAATGAAATCAATAATTTACTAAATATTGCCAGCGTAGATCCAGATGAAGTTGTCATTTTCCAAGACAAAGAAGGACGATTAAAGTCGAGTAATGTAAAACTGTCAGATGTAGTTGTACGAAATCCAAGTGGGAATATTGTTATGAAACAAAACAAGATTACAGATCTTGGAAACCCAACTGAGGATGGGGATGCTGTCACTAAAAATTACGTCAATGATCAGGACGTTTCAATCAATAATGAAATCACAGCACTCACAAAATGAGTATCTTAGTCATGTATATATATTTTTAAGTTTTCGCAGAAACATAAACAGAATTAGAGATGAATTTTTTGGAAATCCATCAATTGTTGACATTTCACTCGCTAATATTAACACAAAACTCAATGATATTAACACAAAACTCAATAATATTATTAGTAAAATTCCTAATATTGCTGAGGAAACGAGTATCATTCCTCACAAACAGATTAAAAAATATTGTGTATACTATTGCATATGGTTATAGTGGATGGAGACCACAAAACAAATCTATCAAACACATTGCAGAAGTTACTGGTTTGTATAGATTGTCAGTGTTTAGCACTGTAAAGTTTAAAATAATTACTAAATCATGGCGTCATTCATATGATGATGACTTATCTGGAATGTTATCTGTAATATTAAACAAAAATTCTGAGGAAGAATTTGTACTTGAACCAACTGATAAAAATTTTATAGGTCCTTATCGGTGGTGTTTGGAATTTGTAGCTGATTTATCATAACTTTGTAAACAAATATTATAATGAAAAAAAGTATAGTTGATTTTAATCATATTTCAAAAGATATTTCAGAACAGGATGTGGACGCACTAAACAATACTACAAATATTATCACAAAAAACATTGGTGCGTTAAAAATGTTATAAATACTACAACAAGATCCTTCGAGTAATATCATATCTACCATTGTTAATGACCAGTTCCGGTATAATTTCAAGTGGGATATCGTTAAATCCATTTTTGTTAATTATATCTGGTATTGGTTTTTCACTTACAGCGGCGTGTAAAAAAGTAGAACCAAGACTTTTGATAAAAAAGCATGGATGTTTAACATCAATTAAAACTTACAAGAAACTACTTGATCAGATCCGGTCTTACCTACGAGGAGTCAAATATAATATGGATGATTTATTACGTGAATTTCGTATTATTGATAATATGTTAACAGATATTCTACCAATGAGGGTTAGCAAGTAAAATATAAAAAAATATGAGTAACGTAAAATTTTATCTAAACTTAAGATATAATATAACTAAAATAATATCATTTTCATTCTAATACTAGTTTAATTTCCGCCTTGTTAACTGAAACGTTCTAATGCACAGTTTAATTTTCGTCCTGTTATCTGATAAAAAATTTGTGGTAAAATCTATTTGCCGTCTTTAGAATAATCATATTCCACACATACGCTGTTCTAACAAATTCGTCACTTCTGTTGACAGAGCTTATGGCATTCCAACACCTGTTGTTTTGTCTGGTTACAAAATATCTGTCTACATAGTAGTAGTAAAGGGGAATGAGGGGTTTGGCGGGGGTGGGGGAGGAGGTGTGGGAAGGGGGTGGTGGGCCAAAACCCTCATTTCCCTCTACTACTGTAGGTGTAAATTTTGTTTTTATTTAAGAAAGTCCTCAGCTACTCGCGTTGAAAATTAGATGGTTGTTGTGATAGTGATTAACAGGGTAGGAGCAATTTATTTTTTTGATGTTCGGACTATATTTATCCACAAATATTATTACATTCTCTATATTTTCTTCATTTCTTTATTTTGTGTATGGATAATGATGCGGCTGGCATTGTCTACTTAGCTTTTGGAACCTAACATTGTGTCATAACTATTCATCAGTTACATACAGTAAGGGGTCTTCTATTTACGTTTGTTATATATTTCATTTCTAATCCCTTCCGAGACAAAATAGGAGAGGGACCTATCTTCATAAACATATCTCGATGCTAGTAACCACATCGACAGCAGATCTTATAAGTTTGGTAAGTTTTTCCTGAGCGGGTGTTACGGAGTTGTGGGTACGATTAAATATAGTTTCACAATATATCCCCTCCCTAAACTCTCTAAAGAGTATGGGTACAATTTCAGCAACAGATGAACAGCATTAATTTGTTAGTCACGATTCTGCTGGTAATGCTTTCACTGCATGCATTATTTGTATAGCTTCTGATTACTATATATCTTAGAAGAATTAGTTGCAGAGTGCTAGTAGTTTTGGTAGAATTTATAGTATTAGTAGTAGCATTGGTAGTAGTATCTGCAGTAGATCTAATAATAATATTGGAAGTAGCGTTGGTAGTAGCATTAGTTGTAGTAGTACCTTTGATATTATTATTAGTTGTATTGACGACAGTCTTAATAGTTGCATTGGCATCAGTAGTAGTAGTACTGGTAGTAGTATTAGACGTAGTAATGTTGGTAGTAGTTTGGTTACTAGTATTAGCACTAGTATTGGTAATATTATTGGTAGCAGATTTAGTAGTAGCTTTTGCAGTAGTCTTAGTAGTAGCATTGGTAGTAGTCTTAGAAATAGCATTGGTAGTAGTCTTGGTAGTAGCATTGGTAACAGTCTTAGCAAGTAGCATTGGTAGTTGTCTTAGTAAGTAACATTGGTATCAGTCTTAGTAGTAGCATTGTTAGTAGTCTTAGTAGTAGCATTGGCAACAGTATTAGTAGTAGCATTGGTAGTAGTCTTAGTAGTAGCATTGGTAGTAGTCTTAGTAGTATTGGTAGTAGTCTTGGTAGTAGCATTGGTAACTGTATTAGTAGTAGCATTGGTAGTAGTCTTAGTAGTAGCATTGGTAGTAGCCTTAGTAGTAGAATTGGCAGTAGTCTTAGTAGTAGCATTGGTAGTAGTCTTAGTAGTATTTGTTTTAGTCTTAGTAGTAGTATTGGTAGTAGTCTTAGTAGTAGCATTGGTAGTAGTCTTAGTAGTAGCATTAGTAGTAGTCTTAGTAGTAGCATTAGTATAGTCTTAGTAGTAGTATTGGTAGTAGTCTTAATAGTAGCATTGGTAGTAGTCTTAGTAGTAGCATTGATAGTAGTCTTAGAAATAGCATTGGTAGTAGTCTTGGTAGTAGCATTGGTAACAGTATTAGTAGTAGCATTGGTAACAGTATTAGTAATAGCATTAGTAGTAGTCTTAGTAGTAGCATTGGTAGTAGTCTTAGTAGTAGCATTGGTAGTAGTCTTAGTAGTAGCATTGGTAGTAGTCTTAGTAGTAGTATTGGTAGTAGTCTTAGTAGTAGTATTGGTAGTAGTATTAGTAGTAGCGTTGGTAGTAGTCTTAGAAGTAGCATTGGTAGCAGTCTTGGTAGTAGCATTGGTAGTAATCTTAGTAGTAGTATTAGTAGTAGTCTTAGTAGTAGCATTGGTAACAGTATTAGTAGTAGCATTGGTAGTAGACTTAGTAGTAGCATTGGTAGTAGTCTTAGTAGTAGTATTGGTAGTAGTCTTAGCAGTAGCATTGGTGGTAGTCTTAGTAGTAGTATTTGTAGTAGTCTTAGTAGTAGTATTGGTTGTATTCTTAGTAGTAGTATTGGTAGTAGTATTAGTAGCATCATTGTTAGCCGTATTAGTATTAGTATCGCTAAAAGTATTAGTATAAGAATCGGTAAAAGTATTAGTAGTATCATTGGTAATAGTATTAGTAGTGGTATTGGTAGTAGTTGTTGTTGTGTAGCTTAGCGCCATGTTTGCAGCACACGATACATTGCGGTCAGTATTAATGGTGGAGTAAAAAACATGGGAAATCACCGGAAAGAACCACCGACCCACGAGAAGCTACTGGCAAGCTTTCTCACATATCTACATTAGCCGAATCCTAGACTGGAACCCATGCAGACAGAGGTGAGATGGCAGTTTACCGTAACGGACAGTGCTTTAGACTACTCGGCCAGTCGGGGCCACAGTATTGGTAGTATTATTGATAAGAGTGTTGGCGATATTATTGGTAGTAGCGATGTGATGTGATTATGATTTTTAACGTAGTTTTAACATTTTTTCAGTCATATCGCCACGATGTCTGCAGTGTGGCAGTTTATAGTGATGTCTAGCACTGGGACATTATGCCGCAGACATGTAGCATGATGTTCGACCCAGTCACATTATCCTGACACCAGGCCGACCAGTCCTAACACTAACATCTATATGCTGAGCGTCAAGCGAGACAGCTGTTATTACCATTTTTGTAAGTCTTTGGTATGACTCGACCGGGGATCGACCCGCGACCTCCCGCATCTGAGGCGGACGCTTTACCACTAGGCCAACGGAGCGGTTTTATTGCTAGTAGTATTAATAGTTGTATTGGTAGCATTATTAGCAGTAGTATTGGTAGTATTATTGGCAATATTATTATTAGCAGCATTGGTAATAGTATTAGTAGTAGCATTGGTATTAATATTAGTAGTAGCATTGGTAATAGTATTAGTAGTAACTTTGGTAGTAGTAATAGTAGTAGTATTGGTAGCAGTATTAATAGTAGCATTGGTAATATTATTATTATTATCATTGTAGTGGTATTAGTAGTAGCTTTGGTAGCCATATTAGTAGTAGCATTGATATTAGTTTTAGTAGCAGCGTTGGAAGTAGTATTAGTATTAGCTTTGGTAGTTGTTTTAGTAGTAGCATTGGTAATAGTACTAGTAGTAGCATTGGTATTAATATTAGTAGTACCATTGGTAGTAGTATTAGTAGTAGCATTGGTAGCCTTATTAGTAGTAGCATTGGTAATAATATTAGTAGTAGCATTGTAGTGGTATTAGCAGTAGCTTTGGTAGCCGTATTTGTAGTAGCGTTGTTACTAGTATTGGTAGTAGCATTGGTATAAGTATTAGTAGTAGAATTGATAGCCGTTTTAGTAGCAGCATTGGTAATAGTATTAGTGCTAACATTGGTAACAAAATTAGTAACAGTATTGGTAGTAATATTGGTAGTAGTATTATACGCAGTATTGGTAGCAGTATTGGTAGCCGTATAAATTGTAGCATTGGTAATATTATTAGTAGTAGCATTGGTAGTATTGTTATTAATAGTATTGGTAATACTGTTAATAGTAGTATTAGTAATAATATTAGTAGTAGCATTTGTATTGTTGGTAGTAGTATCAATGGTAATAATATTAGTAGTAGTATTGGTAGTAATGTTAGTAGTAGTTTTGGTAGTAGTGTTAGCACTGGCAATGGTAATATTATTGGTTGCCGTATTAGTAGTAGCATTGGTTATATTATTAGTAGTATTATTGGTAGTATTATGATTAGTTGCATTGGTTTTAGTGTTATTAGTAGTATTTGTAAAAGTATTAGTAGTATTATTTGTAGTATATTTTGATAATAGTGTTAGTAGTAGTATTAGTAGTAGTATTGGTAGAATTGTTAATAATAGTGCTGGTAGTATTATTGGTAGTATTAATATTATTAGTTGTATTGGTAGCAGTAAGAGATCTAGTATTGCTAGTATTATTGGTAACAGTATTAATAGTAATATTGGTAGTATTATTGATAATAGTGTTGGTAGTATAATTAGTAGTAGTATTGGTAGTATTATTTATAATAGTGTTGGTAGTATTATTGTTAGAAGTATTATTAGCTTTTTTGGTAGAAGTATTAGCACTAGTATTGGTAGTATTATTGGTAATATTAATAGTAGTAGTATTGGTATTAGTATTAGTAGTAGCATCGGTAGTAGTATAAGTAGTAGCATTGATAATATTATTAGCAGTAGTATTGGTAGTAGTATTAGTAGTAGTATTGGTAGTATTATTGGTAGTAGTGTACGTAGTAGTTGTGTTAGTAATATCAGTTGTGGTAACTGTAGTAGTGTTGTTAATAGTTTTAATAGTAGTATTAGTAACAGTATTGGTAGTAGTATTTATAACACGAAAATAATCATATGCAAGTAGATATCATTTTATGTAGTTATCAAGAGCGGCAATAACAGTACAATTTGAGGTGGTAGTGTTGGCCACAGCAACCTATGTCAGTATTGGCAGTTATGTTAGCAAGTGTAGAATTTATAACAAACATTGATTCTGACAGCAGCAACAGCAATCTAAAAATTACCGCAACTATAGTAGTAGTAATAGTTGTAGTAGTTAGTAGCGGAAGTAATAGTAATAGTAGCAGAAATAATAGTTCGATTAACGGAGGTAGTAGTTCTAGTAATGGAGGTAGTAGTTCTAGTAACGGAGGTAGTAGTTCTAGTAACGGAAGTTGTAGTTCTAGTAACGGAAGTAGCAGTTCTAGTAAAGGAAGTTGTAGTTCTAGTAACGGAGGTAGTAGTTCTAGTAATGGAAGTTGTAGTTCTAGTAACGTAAGTAGTAGTTCTAGTAACGGAAGTTGTAGTTCTAGTAACGGAGGTAGTAGTTCTAGTAACGTAAGTAGTAGTTCTAGTAACGGAAGTAGCAGTTCTAGTAAAGGAAGTTGTAGTTCTAGTAATGGAGGTAGTAGTTCTAGTAATGGAAGTTGTAGTTCTAGTAACGTAAGTAGTAGTTCTAGCATTGATATTAGAAGAGCAAACGTTACAAGTGGTGGTTATAGTTGTGTTCCATGGCTACTAGCAGTATCAAAATAAATAAGATGAAATAGTGGAAACATTACCGTCAGCGTCGAATTGGCGAAAGGGAAGTAACTGGGTTTAGAATACATCATGATGCGTTTGTTATTTGATCACTAGCGGCAGTAACTGGGCTTACAATATTTAATGAGCTCTTGGGCATTTCCACGATCATTCTCTAATGGAACATTTAGTTAGAAAATCTATGAATATTAAA